TTCTCTCTCCTCCTCCTCCTCTCTCTCTCTCTCTCTCTCTCCTTTCTCTCCTTTTTCACGGTTTTTGGAGCACTGGTCGTAAATCGATGATATCTTGGCAGTCGAAATCACGCTTGTTGTATTGGCAAAATGGATCTCACGCGAATCCGTGAAGATATAAGGGTGAGAAACGACGTTGTCATGTCATCGAGTGATGAAAATATTGTACAACATTCATAATTGATTGAAATGATCAATGGAGAAAAATTCGAAAAATTATATTAGAAGAAATTAAGTATTATTAATATGAAATATTCTTAAATATGAAAATGAAATATCCTTAAATATGAATGAAATATGAATAATCCTTAAGCGATGTTGCAATGTACTTTGTCTTGTGTATATATGTTAGATATAAAAAAGTTTAAGTTTCGTTCAATATTGATTCTCTGCTAACGATAAGATAAATCTGGAGACATCTGTCGCGCCATGGACGTCTGTCGGAACAATTTCGAACTTAATATCTCACCTGGAAAACCAACGAGATAAAAAGTACTTTATAGATTACTCACCAAGTAATTATATCAAGTGTTCTCTCTGTTCTCTCAATTCAGACTGTTACAAATTCAAAATCTGTGTAATGCATTTAACGCGCCAATGTTTTAAAGCGGGAGCGATCCAATTTTACCAACACGTATTAAGAGCAATGTACTTATATCATCACAGATAATTCGCTTTTATCCAATAAATCTCACAAATTCGATATCTCTATGATGGCGTACAAATTGTTTCCTGTCAAATGTGAGAAATATCCAAAGACCGTTATTATTCTCATAATATGATTTATCATATTCGACATACATACTTTTTAAATGATTAGAAAATAAAAAGAATTTAGACATTTTTATCTTAATTTATGTATATTTTATATATATATATATATGTATATATATATGTATGTATATATAAAGAGAGGCTGTAGTAAATTCTGACATTTATTCTAAATGTGCCTCTGTAATTTATATTTATATCACATGCAAATGCATCTATAATGGATATTTCGTGTTATCTTTTTTTCATATCTTTTGCAATAAATCATAAATTTGTCAGAAGTTTGTAAAGCCTATGTGACCTCGAATGGATTAAAAAACCTTCTTGATACCATCAAGATTTTGAACGGTCGTTGAGTTACTCAACTGAGGTCATATACTTTTTCTTCCGGTCTTTAGTAAGGCTTATCTGCTTATTCATTTCATACATTCAACGTATCATCTATCAAATAACAGCCTTGATACCAAAAATATAACTGTGTTTTTTTCTGTTAAATAATTTGAAAATTTTCGCACCATCACTCTACCAAGTTTATTTCCTCAATTTCATAAAATATGTAATTATTTTTTCTGTTAGTGATAAACCACATTTTTTCGGTTTTCGACGCGATCATAAATTTGAATGATCGTAAACTGCGACGTAACAGCAACGTAATTTGCGTGCAAACGTAATTTGTTTATCAACTGAAATAACGGTAGTGTCCGAGTCGAATACTTCATGCGAAGAATATTTTTCCATGTAATACCGATTACATTTTATTTACAAATTGCGGGATTTAAAACGAGTCAACCGAGTTCGTGAAAAATATTTTAATAATATCGAAGTATATATTTATGCAAAAAATAACCTCCGCAAGCTTTGAGTATAGAATTTCAAGCATACGATAAAATAATTTATTTAATGGACGGCAGATGCTGATTACGACCTGTCGAATGGTAATAATTATCAAAATTTTATTCAGCCCCAACAGTATAAAAGAGTAATTATTTTTAATTTTATATCGCACCCGCAGTATGTTGCATAATCTCACGGTTGATTATCCAGTCACGATGCGTGAAATTAATGCCCAATAACAATCAATGCAATTGTTAAGTGAAGGAATGGTTGGTAGGCAGTTATCGATCTGATAAATAAACCACTTTGCTACGCTTTCACATAATATATAGCCTAAATATTTAATAGAAATGGCCGTTTTAATGCCGGTAAAACAAATAATTACCTTTATTAAATTTACGCCGGCGCTCTGTCTGATGTTCCGCGCTAAAGAGTGAATTGTAAACGAGATAATGACACTCTATACAACCTGCATTATGCACGGGAACGTGTTGTTCAAATAATCTATCAACGCGCTGTCTCTAGCACGGTAGCTTTTTCGGACGTAAATCAACATGGGAGACAATTTTTTGTGGCGCGTTAATTCTATCATTTTTTCCAAGCGCATGCATTTTATCTCGATCGTTCGGTCGATTGGCCGTCGAATTTTGACACACAGAATGAAATATTTATCCATCCCTGTATCTATTTGTTTGCAAAAATATGGAAGTATGATAGATATTAAAAGACAATTACTTACAGATACATGCCCAGTTTACTAGAAAATGTGTCTCGATAAAAAAAATTGAGATTTCTTAAAAGATTTATTCGTAAGAAATTTCCTTATACTTTGAATTATGCAATATGTTATTACAATATGCAATACGTTATAATTTATAAAGTTTTACGTTTAACGAACAAATGCAAATGGAAAATCAAACTAATTGTAAGTGTAAATTCACCAACGTGCGATTCGCAAGGCATATAATTTATCTACAATCAGATAAATTACAAATAGGATTACAATTATATGATTAACAAGCTCTATTAACCATATTAGTTCGATTAGTTGTGTGCTCGGTACCTTTTATCAGCATGCTATTAACATTTGGCCTTTTGATTGTCGTCTGTCGCATCAAATACTTAAACAATAGTAAAAATGTAACTTGTTAAAATATTTCCGGTCTATCGAAAAATTAAAACATCCGTTTTATTTAACTACGTTATATTTTTTAATAGTACAATCGATATTATTACTAGCGATTTTATTTCTAGATTAGTTGAAGGAAGTTTAATCTATCTAAAGTCTATATAAATTATGACGGAAATACATTGATCTATCTCGCGATGTCTATGTCTAATTTCGTTATGTATTTTTTTCCGCATTGTTCTCTCGT